CAAATAAAAATATTATAACTTATTTGTCTCTTTGTTCATAATTTTAATAAATTGAAAATTTAAAAAAAATTGCTTCTGTCTGTGAGTTGATTGTGTTTTGTGCTTAAAGGAATAGTTATTATTTGCTTTCTTGTAGAGAGTTAGATGAAAAGTCTTTAAGCTTAGCTTAGCACAAAGAAATCGGAAATACTGAGCCTGGCTCTGTTTTTAAAGTAAAAAAAAAAAATCACTCTACCAGTACCACCATTTTTAATTTGTGTGATAACGTTGTGTATAAACGACACATTGCACTTTAAAATTCCAGATACTACTTCATACACACCCTCTCTAACTCTCTTTAATGAAGGAAATGGGCTTTGTGCTGATTTAGTGACAGCAAGGCACTACAGTACAAACACAACCTCCACGCAAGTCAGAATATTTCTAGTATTCCCTATGAAACATAGCTACAGGTAAGCATGACCTCCCTATCTCTCTCTTCTCCCAGTTCTCTTCCCACCCGCCCTCCATTGTGTCCTGTAGTGTAAAACTCTGACATCTGGTCTGGAGCCCTGCAGCCCTCCCCAACAGCCCACCCAGCACCGCCCCTGCACCCCCCACCTCCACTCCCTGTTCCTTATGATTTTGATTGACAGCTTTATAGACTGCAAGGAAATTGGTTGTAGTTTCAATACAGCTGGCCTGTTTGGAGTAATGAAAAAGGGCATGTGGCCTTGAGCTTGCTGCACTGATGGTGAGAGAGGGAGAGTGCCTTGTCTACTGCATGGGTGGTAGCTACTTATTCTCATCCCTCATTGTCATGTGAGAGAAAGTTTTAAACTCACCACCCTGCGGGAAACGTCCAACTTGAGCACTTTGATCAAAAATCAGTTTAACAATTATGGATTGCAACAAATGGTATTTCTGCAATGTAGATGAAGACTATGGTTTGCAAATATCCAGCTGTGTCAATCCTGTTGTTCCTAACTACAAATAGAGGATCAATTTTCTCAAGCCACATTCTCAACCTGAACCTCTAGGAGGATGAGGAACTCACTGACCCTGGATCAGCGGTTAGAGGCAAACAGTAGGCATGTCATTATCTTTTAAAGCCAATAAAGGCACACTGCTCTGCTGTGTGCTGTCCAGCCAGTGTAAAGAGGAAGACTGACATGATAAATGACAGGGTGTGTTTGGAAATCTGGGTGGCAGGGTGTTGTTTTGAACTTTTCTAACTGGACTTGACATTTTCAGTCTGTTGCTCGATCACAGAAGGTAAAGACCAATCGTATAGTGGCTGGGAAAAAATAAAATAAAATTTAGGATGAACAATTTTTGCTGAAAGGTGAAATATCTGTGATCACCTATGGTTGTTTGTGGGTGACATGGTTCATTGAGTTGTTATGTTGTTAAGGTCTCTTTCACCAGCACTCCCCTCTTTTGCTGGAGGACCCCAGGTCAACAGACCAACACACACACCCCTCCTCTGGCCCTGCCTTACCCTTTAGCCCCCCTCACCTCTAGCCTTCCCCACAAACACATAAATGCACACACACTCTGGAACTGCACATATTGTGAAGAGAGCTTCATTGAACATAACAAGCTCCAGGTTGTTAATGAATGAGTGTTTCCTGTACCTGTCCTCCAACAGAAAGGGGGTAGAAAGAGGGAGAGAAAGATGGAGGGAGAACAAAAAAGGACGAGAGAGGAGGCAATTAAGAAGTTCCTTCACTCCTGGACTAATGGAGTGTTCCGCCGTGGCTTTCTGCCCAGACTGTGTGACAATGGAGCGGATACATACTACACAGCAACGTTTTTTTCCTTCTTCATTCATTCATTTCTTTTTGTATTTTTCTTGCTTTCTTATCTCAAACCTACATGGGAATTATACAAAAAGGAATGACTGATTCATCAGTTCCAGTCCTTCTTTTCTGTCCATCTGTCCCTCCCTCTCCCTCTTTCCATTACTCCCTTGTTCCCTGAAAGGCTTGTCCATCATCACCTGCCGGCTGAGCTAAACCTTCCGAGTGTATACTCTCCTCTACATGAATGATTGCTCTGTTGACATGACTGCATGGGACACACGCAAACACACACACACACACACACACACACACACACTCCTGTCTGACCCAGGGCTAGATTTACACATTCTTTATAAAAACGGAGTTTAAGAATAAATCTGCAGGAAGCATCACATGGTGTGCTGATACGACTCCAGATCCAGGCGTATGGGGGGTTTATCTTTAAGGCCTCACAGACACCTTGAAAACCATTCAACTTTCGACTTGTGTTTGCTTCTCCGTGTCTGTGTCCGACATTATGCATAAAAACAAGCACTGTTTGCCAGATTTATGTCAAAGTCGCTGGAGGTTTCCAAATGTCAGACTTCAGTGACAGCAAATGAATGCAGGATGAATAACTGTAGATCTCATATTGTAAATAATATTAGCCTGTAATGACTTTACATTTGAGGGCTAAACATACGATGACAACAAATCATCACTGTAGTAGTAATTGCATCATTAGACTTACAGTCAAGCCCGACATTATTCATACCCCTGGCAAATTCTGACTTAAAGTTACTGTTATTCAACCAGCAAGTTGTTTTTTGATTAGAAATGACACAGGCGTCTCCCAGAAGATAATAAGACGATGTACAAGAGGCATCATTGTGGAAAAAATTATTGAACAAAAAGTGGCATCTCCAAAATTATTCATACCCGTCTCAATAATCAATCGAAAAGCCTTTATTGGCAATTACAGCAATCAAACACTTGCTATAATTGCTGACCAGCTTTCTGCATGTCTCCACTGGTATTTTTGCCCATTCATCTTCAGCGATGAGCTCCAACTCTTTCAGGTTGGAGGGTCTCCTTGCCATCATCCTGATCTTTAGCTCCCTCCACAGATGCTCAATGGGATTTAGGTCAGGACTCTAGCTGGGCCACTGCAAAACATTAATGTTTTTGTCTGCTAACCATTTCTTCAACACGTTTTCTGTGTGTTTTGGGTCGTTGTCGTGCTGAAATGTCCGCTGGTCCCCAAGGCCAAGTTTCTCTGCAGACTGCCTGATGTTGTTGAGAATTTTGATGTATTGCTCCTTTTTCATGGTGCCGTTTACTGCGATTAGGTTCCCTGGTCCACTGGCTGAAAAACAACCCCAAAACATTAGGTTCCCACCACCATGTTTGACAATGGGGATGGTTTTCTTAGGGTTGACCATAAAACAGAAGACCAGAAGTCTTCTTCTTTGTCCAGATGAGCATTTGCAAAGGCCTAGCGGGCTTTTGTGTGCCTTATCTGGAGAAGTGATGTCCTCCTTGGTCTGCGTCCGTTGAACCCAGCGGTGTGCAGTGTCCGCTGGACTGTCTGCCTTGAGATGCTGCCACCAGCAGAGCCCAGATTCATCAGGATGGCCTTGGTGGTGATCCTTGGATTCTTTTTTACCTCTCTCACTATCCTCCTGGCCAGCACAGGTGTCACTTTTGGCTTCCGACCACATCCTCTGAGATTTTTCATAGTGAGGAACGTCTTGTATTTTTTAATAATACTTTGCACTGTAGCCACTGGAACTTCAAAACATTTAAATATGGTCTTATAGCCCTTTCCTGACTTGTGGCCAGCCACAATGCGCAGCCGCAGGTCCTCAGTGAGCTCCTTTGTCTTAGCCATGACTGTCCACAAACCAACAGCAGAGAGCTTCTGATATTCACCTGTTGAGTTGATTAAGACAGCTGTTCCCAATGACTCAGGGTAATTAGGATGCTTTAGAACAGTTTGGACTATTTGGAATGGTATAGATCTTTGGATTTTCCCAGAGACTGTGACAGTTTGCAAAGGGTATCAATAATTTTGGACATGCCACTTTTTGTTCAAATGTAAATAATAATTTTTTCCACAATCTTGCCTCTTATTATCTTCTGGGAGACGCCTGTGTTTCTAATCAAGAAACAACTTGCTGGTTGAATAACAGTAACTTTAAGTCAGAATTTGCCAGCGGTATGAATAATTTCGGGCTTGACTGTAAGTGTAGTTATGCTTTGAAAAATATATAGGGCGTTTTTTGTATTTTAACCTAAACTATTTTATCACTCACTTTTATGGTTATCATTGAAAAAAAATTAAATACACTTCCTAGCCATGATTTATGGCATATTTGTACACCAAATGTTAAGATAGCTTAGCTGGAAACTGTTCGAAGTCTTGATGTCATGTGTCTACAGAGGCACTAACATTATAAAAAAGCATATTTCTCTTCTATTCTACTTTTTTCTATTCTGTCAGCAGTCTCAAGGTGGGTGGTTTTGGGCGGGTGTTGGTGCTGGTGTTCAATCCCACCCAGGAACCAGTTTGACTTGGCTGGCTGTTTTATCTCCCACAGAGGGAGTGCGTTCTTCTTACAAGAATGATCCAGAAGAATGTGAAGTCCAAGTCCCTAGTGGCCAGACTTACATAAGCTCAGTGTTAAAGTGCAGTTCTGCAGGCTGCAGTTGTGAATAACAAGAAAATAGCCTTTATGAGAATGACACGTGAGGAAAATGCTCGGCATTTGACATACTGGACAGAGTAGTGATGCGTGGTTGTCAGGATAAAATTTTTTAGTAGACTGTATATCTGTGCTGGGTTTTGCTAGTGTTGCAAGAAGGACTTCAGCATATGTCTTTCTCTCTCTTGTCTGAGAGTAATTAATGTTGGAATTCAGCTTTCTGAATTCAGATGTCTAATGATCAGAGAAGATCAGAGCGTTAAGTGGGTGGATTGTGAAAGAGGATCATTGGAGAAGAGGCGTTTAGAGACAGAGAGCCTTTGAAAGAAAGAAAGTGTGTACAGGATGAATTGTCATGACTTTGGTGATCTATTTTAATCTACATTTGAGTTTGTCCTTGGGTTTGATTTATGACCTGCAAAGCTAATGACTTTTGTTTGGTACCAAATGTTAGCATGCTAACGCGCTAAACTGAGATGGTGAACATGGCAAACGTTATATCTGCAGAATGTTAGCATGCTGACCTTAGCACGAAACTCAGCCTCATAGAGCTGCTAGTCTGGCTGTAAACTCAATTTTAGTCAGTTAGTTTTCATGGTTTCTGTTAAAGAGAACCTGCTCTACCTGGAGTTCTGCGTTTGGGTCCAAATCCCTTGTTTTCCTGTGTCTGCGCTTGGCTTTCCATGACATTAGTAGTATGCTGTACGTAGTTTTCATAGCCAAGCATTCTTTCATGATGTGAGTGACTGTTCTCTACAAAAGCTTTTGTTTAACACATTTTCTTACACGCTACTACAGCTCTCCAGGAATCCTGCAAGAGTAAGAGAGAGAGAAGAACAGCGAAGGAGACAGAGCAGCGTAGAGGTCCAAGACACAGAGGGAACCACATCCAATTCTTAGAAACGGCTGACATGATTCACTATGCATTCAGTAGTGTTTAAAGGCTTCTACTGCAAGAGAGGTCGCCGAACACAGCCAAAGATTGTATCTCTCTCACAGTAAGAAATCTGCCATTATTATTACTGTTGGCTGTTACTACTGTTACTTGTGGCTGCATTGAGATAAAGCTCTAAATGAAATGCTGATGTGAGGTCATTTATAGTAATTTTCTCCATCTTTCAAAACCTCCTAGTTCTCCTGTGCGTTTCGGTTTCAGACCACCCGACTCGAGCTTCAGATCTAAGGCCTACAACAAGTAGGTTAATTTAGATATAGTCAGAAAAGAGGACATTTACTTTGCCAAGGATGGACAGAAAGAGAAAGTGAGTGAGAGAGAAGAAAGTAAAAGGTGTAATCAAGTCATCGAGAAGGGCCAAAAAAACAGATTCGGAGTAGACAGAGGGAGATGGAAAATGGAGAATGAAGTGGGGTTGGAGGATGGTTGATGGTGGATGGGAGTAGCCGTATGAGAGTAATTATAATGACTGATATTGTTTACTCCCGTTTCCCCTCGCATCATTTATTCTGTGGAGGTGGAAAACCCACCCACTCTTTCTTTGCGTTACAGATGAGTGCTACGGAGCAATGCCAAGCCATGTCATAATCTCCTTTTCCGCTAATACTGGAAGCATTTATCCTTCCCTCGGCTTCTTTGTGTGCCCCTCCTTCACTTATATTCTGCTTCAATCTTTCTTTTTCTTTACGTTACGTTTGCCTTTGTCCCTACCTGTCTCCCTTCATTTTTGCCTCTTTCCATTCTTTTGTTTTCATTACTGCTGTGTTGACACGACTGTGTGTGACTGCCGTGATTGGGCCAAGCACATGTAAGATGTTAGCATGATGTACGGCCGTTTACACTGAAGATGACAAACTGAGGTTGGAAGCTGTCATCCTTTCTTCCTTTTGTTTAATGTAGGCCTGGTGGCATGCATGCACACACACACACACACACACACACACACACACACACCAGATGAGCACACACCACCCACCTCTTTGTTTAAACTATGCTGTTTGTCTTTGCCAGAAAACATGCAACAATGTATGGAAACAGATGCGTCATCTGAAGACGCAAAAGGGGGGCAGAAGAGGGGGAAAGAGAGACAGAAAGAAACCCACAACTAAATATTTTCATCTGTGTCTGGGAGTGTTGAGCGAATACACGATTCTGCAAAGCCAAACAAAACTAGAGCATATGATTTCACATGTCTCTAACACTTTGTACTATAGAGGAGGGTTTTAATCTGTAGCTCATAAAGGAAACAATAGTGGTACAAATTACTGAAAGTACAGTAAAGTTGAATTGGGTCTTTCCTTGGTGATGATGGTAAACACTTTGGAATTTGCTAATGATCTACCCATTCACAAAGAGGAGAGAGATTTTTTCTTCCATCTGTGCTTATTGATTCTGGCACCATGACAGATGCCTAATGAGAAACAGGGCTGGAGGAGAGCTCTGAGGACCCCAGAGGGAGGCTCAGTCTGAATCAACGCACAGACACATGCACACAAAAGATACAGATGTGAGCGCACACATTCATGCCTGATGTGAATGCGCAGAGATGATAAAATAGATGTCACTGATACGCACTAACCCTGACCTCTAATGTCTGTCTGGAGATCTATAAATTTCTTTTTTTTTTTCAGATGTTAATGAGGATTCAAGATTCAATACCTCATTTCTATATCAGCTTGTTTAATGGGAACCTAAGTCTTGCTGGACTCACTCAGACAAAAAGACTAAACAAATGGGCACACAGAGAGAAAAATAAACAATCACAGAATATAAAAATAACATGAGAACAAAAAGTAAAGTCTGGTAAATTAGATTACGATAAAAGAAAAGAAAATTCTGGCCCTGCGATGGACTGGCGACCTGTCCAGGGTGTACCCTGCCTTTCGCCCGATGTCAGCTGGGATTGGCTCCAGCCCCCTGCGACCCTGTACGCAGGATAAGCGGTTGACGATGAATGGATGGATGGAAAATAAAGTTCCCATTGCATTCCTGTGCTCCTGCTCTTTTTTAAGGGAAGTGGCAGGTAGAGCGATTCATACACTGATAACAAGTTCAATTCCAAAGTGTCCTTGAGCAAGACAATGAATCTCAAATTACTCCTGATGGTCAGGTCAGCACCTTGCATGCTAGCCCGCTACCATCATTGTGTGAGTGTATGTGTGAAGCGGTGAATGAGAGGCAAATTGAAAAAATGCTTTGGTAGCCATAAGCCATTAATAACACTCCAGTCACTATCAAGTCACTTAATTAGAAGTTGTTATTTTTATTTTTATTTTAGAAAACTGTGAAATTATTACAGTAAAGAACTCTCTTAAAATGAATATTTCTTGATTTCGTGACAGTTATTCCCAAAAAACGCTGACACACGCACAGACGTACACAAGAGACATCTGAAACAGTTCAAATAAGCAGGAGTGCTGCGAGTTATGTGGTGTATGTTTTGCCACCAATGAACCAATGCAAACTTGTGGGTGTGCAAACCAACTCTCTCACACACATGCACACTCAAACTTCAACAGAGACGTGATTGGAGTGGAAGCTGTCGGAGAAGGATTTTAGAGCAGGAAGTGTGTAATTATCGTGGGCAGAGGAGCAGATAGATGGATGTGTGTGTGTTTAACACTCCCACTCAATTTCCCTTCAATCTACTGGACTAATAGAAAGCAGGTGTGTATGTGTGTGTGTTTCTGTTTAATGCATGTCTGCGTGTGTGTGTGTGTATGATACAGTAGTTCACGGTAAAAATGAGCACACTGCTCTGCTGTCAGGTTGTTGAACATGGGCGATGAATGAGTGACAGGGACAAAGTTGTGCTCATTGCCATTTTCAGGTCAAGTGGAGTCCTCAGGGGCCCAATATAGCAAGAAGTGATTCTTGCTATATATATATCTTCTATATATATGTCCGCTTACTATGTCCCCTTTTTGGCTCTTATGTTAATTGAACTAGTAGTCTGAGAGCAATAATGCATGCAACAAAGTGAAAGAGGCCAAGCAATTTTGTCTATTCACTGCAATTGTCAACACTACAATTAAAAATTGTAGATTTTGAACAGTACTGATTTGATTATGATTACTCATGTTTCTAAACTCTGGCAATTAATCAAAAGTCTGAATACCTGTAATGGTATCCTATTTGAGTCTCAGAGGGTATTTTCTAATCTGCAAGTGAAACGGACAATTGGAAGTCAGATGTTGGCTGTAACAGCTTGTTTAATTGGCAGTGATTGCCCACATGCACACATGCTTAGGCACTTAGAAAGCACAGGACAAAATTGAAATTTCATTTCATGCGTAAATTGGACATTTAAAAACTTAAATACTTGAACAGTTGAATGAACAGTTCCCTAATAGTACTCACCACTGTGAATTTGCAGTTCACTGTAGACACAGTGTGTGGTGTGTGGCTGTATGTGTGCGTGCCATTGTGTACAGGCATATGCATGCAGTGCTGTTTTACATTGGTCACAGAACCTCTCTCCCTTTCTCAGCCAATCCCCAGCTTCCTCCCAAAGCAATAAAGAAGCATGCTTTTAAAAATGCCTGGAATTGCCATAAAGAGTGTGTCCTTGTGACTACGTGTGTTTGCGCATAAAGAGCAAGTGGGATACAGTAAATATGAATTTGTATTATTGTAAAGTTGTTTGGTCCCATGTATGTCCCCTTACCAGACCTATAAGTGATTTCCTTATATGTGAAAGATGTAAAAAGGGGTTATGTAAGGTAAGATCTGTTCCTCCGGGCAGGATTTTGCACACATCTTCTGTGACTGCTCACACCAGACACAGTAAGGCAGTAGATGCTGGGTGGGTCTTGATTTCCTTTTAAGGCTCCTCTGTGTTGCACTTTTATTTTCTACTTTCATGTGTTTTTTGTGCCCTAGGTAAGGGTCTTGTCACACACAAGAAAAGCAAAACAAAGACACAATAATGACATAATGAGTGTACATGGGGGGGATGTAAGGTCATAGGAGTTCTAACAGGTGGAGAAGTGCTAATGAAACAGGAAGGGAAAAATGTGTGTTACATGTACAAAGCTTTTGGTTCTAGTACAAATTCGAACAGACTCATTTTTGGCTACATGAAGTTACAACAAAGGTTGAAAGCTGCAACACTGAAAACCAGCCACGTTGTGAGGATTCAGCATTTCTCCTACCTTTGGTCCTTATAGACCCAAGAGAGAGAGAAAATGGTCACAATCACTAAGTATTTTTACCCCTCGAAGTTGTGATCAAAAAGTCGTAAAAAAGTATGTTGCTATCAGAAAGTTGGACATTTTAAGTCAGTTAGATGACGTTGTCTGTCAGAAAAACTAAATATGAATTTTTCTCCCACAACCCTGGCCACGCTGTATAACCCATTCTTCCTTCTCTACTTTATGCTGATTATAAAGAGATTCAAATAAATTGATGGAAAAAGTCACAGAACAGAAAGTGAATAAGAGCTCTGCAGACTTTTTAGATTTAGTTTAGATCTTGTCGTATGTGGTTAATGTCGTTATGACATTTCAGTCATGACAACTGTTCAGTGTCAAACCTTAAGTGACATTAACTGCTGTCCAACCTAACCACTGACATTAAATGAACACAAAAGCATGCTCACACACACTTAGACACAGGAAGACCCCAAAAAACAGCTCTTTTAAACTTTGTGAGATACAAATCCGTTTATGAGAGAGAGCTGGCCCCTGTCTGGAGACACCTCTGACAGCTCTTCTTTTCTCCTCTGAAAAGTGCTCTTTCTTTCTCTCTCCTCTCCTCCTTCTCTCTATGTGCTTCTCTTTTTCTCTGTCTCCTAACAGCCAGACATTCAGAGTTAAGCCCAAACGGATCTGAAGATTTTAAACGGCACATTCCTCTGCATTGCCTCAACTGTCCTAAGGCTGGGGGACAGCTATTCCATCCACAAAAAGACCAGAGTTGACATGTATACTCAAGACACATCGATGTACACATGTTTTAAAGGGTGGTATAGGTTCGGTGTGATGGAGAAGGGCTTGATAGCTTGAGGTAGGAAAGAACAACTTTAATGACAAAAAGGGGAAAAGAGAACAAATAATGGTAAAAGGTTAACAGAAAGCTTCATGAAGAGTCAGGAAATGTCACGATCCTGTCCTGAGTTTCTCT